AACTAAATGTTGTTGATTATGTTGGGTTAATTGGTGGGGAAATTTAGCATTTAGGGTTATATTTTGAGGGTTTAAGATTGCTGCTTCAAGTTTAGCTTGTTATGGCAGATTTTGAGAATGTATTATGAATTTGGGGTTGGGCATATAATTGAAGTATTTTGGAATTTGAGGTTTAGAATGTAATTGAAGCATTTTGGAATTTGGGATTTAGAATGTAATTGATGACTGTGTTGCAAGTTTTAAAAGTTGGAGGACCTAAATACAAGTGCCTAAAAAGTTCAGTGACCATTTATATAACTTACCCTAACGGTAGTGAAACGGCCGTTACGTCGGGGATCATATTGCAAACGAACTAAATATTTGGTCACTGTATTGCAAGTTTTAAAAGTTAGGAGACCTAAATGCAAGTATCTAAAAAGTTCAGTGACCATTTATATAAGTTACCTTTTTTTATTCTATTGAGTGGCTAGAGGAGGGTTATTTTTTTTCTTAAGGTCTTAGGTTATAGCAGCTCCATTTATAAGGTGTATATATGTTGTCAATGGTTAAGAAAAATTATGAATATATACTACTTTATATCACTCCAAGACTATTTGAAAAATTATTTTATTTTTTAGTTAAGTTACTATTATATATATATATATATATTTGTCTCGGATCAGGTTAGGTACAGATTTTTACCTTAAAAGTAACATGTGAAGAGATATTATACTTGAATCAAATTCTAGTGAGCTAAAAACATAATTCCACCTTACCCATATTAAATTTGACATAATGATAAAATTATCTCTCAACATTTGCACAATGATTACTTTGACTCTTATTCTTTTTCTTAGAGTATTTTAGCTCATAACATTTCATTTTTGTAAAAATAGCTTGTATTGGATGAAACCTATTAGTTGACTAACAATCAACGTGTGTCGTTGACGTATAATTTCAACATATGTTTAATTGCTGACATGACATATGCAACATTATTAAATAATAGTGTAGAATATATCATGTTTCTCAAAATAATGATGTGTCATATATCATGTCATTCAAAATAATAATGTCTACATCGCCTAAATGATGACATGATATATACCACGTCATCTGAAGTGATGACATAACATAGATAATGTCATCCAAAATAATAACATGACATGTGTCACGTCATATAAAATAATGATGTGTTACATGTCACATCATCAATTAAACAACTGTAAAAATACAACGTTAATAACATTTATCGATTGTTAATCAATTGACAATTTTCATCTAACATATACTCAAGGAATGAGCCAAAATGGAACAAACTATAATTAAAAATAAAAAATTGGAGAGTAAAATCTAAATAATGAAAATTTAAAGATCTAAATAGGTATTTATATATTTTCTATTGATAAAAATTAAGAGGACAATAGTCCCCGGACTTCTATACAACTCTGTCATTGTAAAATTTATTTTAATAAAAAATTAAAACGTTAGAAACTAAAATAATTTAAAAAAATAAAAATATGTGCCCAAAGCGACCAAAGCTAACTTTATGCCATTAAATATTTGAAACTATATTGGATTTTTTATTCACGTATTAAAATAAAGTACCGTGAAAGATTTTACAATGTCGTTTTAGTATTTTGTTCCCACGCTTTCTATCGCCTCATCAATAATTCAACATTTATCATAAGAAATTCCAAAGTGGAAAATATGAATTATTGATTAAATATTTATTGAGATAATTAGTTGTCTTAGTTAATTAACTTGGCCCTTCCAAAAGCCATGGTGAGAAAACAATAAGCATAATTGCACTTAAATATATATTTAGCACCTACGCTAACTATCTATTCTTTTAAGTTAATGTCTAAAATAATTTTACTCTCAAGTTGATCTTTATATTAAACATTTTTTTAAATTAATATTTAAAGAATTTTTTTCTTTCAAACTTTAATCTCATCTAATTTTTTATATATATTTTTTAATTTCTAAGAAAACACACATATAATCTTTTATTTTTAAATTATCAAAAATTAATATTAATAAAAATATTAAACAAAATCAAAGTTTAAGTACCAGTTTAATAGTAAAATTTGTTTAAGAACCAATTTAGATGTCAATTTGAGAGTATAGATTCTTAGTAAAAACTTGAAAATAAATATATAGTCCCAATACTAAATATATATTTAAGCTTTACTAAGAAAGGGTAGAGATGGAACTAGAATGGAATATTAAGAGAGAAAATATTTAGGTGACTAATCTTAAAACAATAATAACTTATTTAGTATTTAATTCAAAAAATTAGAAGAACAAAAGTTTAAATTCACAAGGATTTTAAAATATTATCAAACCACCAACCCATATTATTTTAAGTGATAAGTAATTTGATACCACTAAACATATCTTGAATTCAAATATTTATGTATAAAAAGAACTCGTTAAAAGATTCACCAATCAAAACCAGACGTACAACTTATAAATTGATTCAAATTGATTCGGATTAGTTATTGAGAACCAGAAAGGGAAAAAATACTATCAAACCATCCTTTATTGTCAAAGGGTATTTAGGAGTATTTTATTATCCGATTGCATGCAAAACCAGATTATATCAGAGCATGATTTCAAGTTAATATACGTTAGGGAAGAAGAAGAGGTTAGTATATTTTCTTTTTGTTTAAATTGACTTAGAATTTTTGGAAAAAGTAGAATGTTTAACTTAGAAATTCAAACAATATTAATGGCATTAATCCCCAATTCTTTACATTATAGTTTCAAGAAACCAACCCCAGAAATCAAAACATAAAACAAGCACTTCCCTTATGGCTTATTATCACAAAATCATAATCTTTTAAACATCAAACAACACAGGTTATTAACTTTCTCATACAAAATTTACTGCCCACCACGGAGACGAAGAACAAGGTGAAGGGTGGACTCTTTCTGAATATTATAATCAGCCAAAGTCCTGCCATCTTCCAATTGTTTACCAGCAAAGATGAGCCTCTGCTGATCCGGTGGGATCCCTTCCTTGTCCTGAATCTTAGCCTTAACATTATCAATCGTATCCGAGCTTTCAACTTCCAAAGTAATCGTTTTCCCAGTCAAAGTCTTTACAAAAATCTGCATCCCACCACGCAGCCTCAATACAAGGTGAAGGGTCGATTCCTTTTGGATGTTATAATCGGCTAAGGTCCTCCCGTCTTCGAGCTGCTTCCCGGCGAAGATCAAACGTTGTTGGTCCGGTTGGATCCCTTCCTTGTCTTGGATCTTGGCCTTGACGTTGTCGATGGTATCGGAACTTTCGACTTCAAGGTTATGGTCTTGCCGGTCAAGGTTTTGACGAAGATTTGCATGCCTCCGCGAAGGCGTAAGACAAGGTGGAGAGTGGATTCTTTCTGGATGTTGTAGTCAGCGAGGGTTCGACCGTCTTCGAGCTGTTTTCCGGCGAAGATGAGACGCTGCTGGTCGGGTGGGATACCTTCCTTGTCTTGGATCTTCGCCTTGACGTTGTCGATGGTATCGGAACTCTCGACCTCGAGAGTTATGGTCTTGCCGGTAAGGGTTTTCACAAAGATTTGCATCTTTTGAATGGGGTTTGAGATGTTTGAATGGATTCTATGAATCTAAATGGATTAGGGATGTTTAAATAGGAAGGGAAGGGGTTGGAAATTTGGATTTCTTAGCTATGAAGATGCCAAGGAAAGGTCGGGAGAATGCGAGAAAGTTTCGGGTCGGTTGAGTCCGCCTAACTTTAAATTTTAGCCACTCCTTTGTCCTTCAAAATACTCAACTATTATTATTTTCCTATTTTATTGTCCGCGTAATTTAGAAATCATATCAAGATTTTTTTAAGGAAAAAATTGGGTTTTAAAGTTTTTATTATTAAATATTTTTTAAGATGTAGAGTCAATTTATTTTTTTAAATGTGTCAATATCTTTTTAAAAGTTGTCATTTTTTATTTTATATTATATATATAATTTGTAGGGTAATTTAAAAAATAAAATTTTAGAGTGTCAATTGACACTCCGAGATATATATTGGTTTCGTTGGTATTTGTAGGGAGTGCATTCATTGTTAATTAATTAAGAAAATTTTGAATAAATATTATTTTGTAATCAACTGAAGTTAATAAAAAAATCCAATAAACTAGAAACATATATCGTTATCTTATGAGTGCAAACTCAAGAAAATATGAAACTATTTAAATAAAGTAATTATTATATAGTTGATAAAAAAAACAATTTTTAAGTTAAATTGTTATTCAAAATTTTTATGGATGATTTTTATTTAATTTTAAATAATTAAAATTTATATTCTATTATAAATATTATAAATATAATTTTAGAATAATTTAATATTAAATTTATAAAAATAACTATTTAGTTATTTTTTGTTTTGAAATAATGTTAAAAATAATTTAATTATTTTAATAATTATATATATATATATATATATATATATATAACCATTAACGTTGATGAAATATGAACAAAATCTTAACTTAATGAATAAACACTTGATTATTTTAATGAAAAATTTTAAATTTAAGTGATCAAATAAATAATTTGTCCTTAAAATAAAGTAAAAATAATATATTCAAAAAATTAATTAAAATAAATAAAACCAAAAGTTATCATCTCAAAATCCTTTAGTTGTTGATTAACAACATGAATAAAGTGATTTCAGTAGTTTAAAAATGATTTTTATCCCTAAAAGTTTTGAATTCGAGCATAACGTCTGTAAAGATGTTTGAATATTAATTGTCAAATAATTGAGAGTATTTCTAACAGATACTACCATATAACCACCCTAGATTAATTAAAAAAATGTTGATTAACACGAGTGCAAATGATTGACCTAATGGCCGAGGCAACTTCCGAGAGGACTCCACTGCTTTCCTTTATTCCATCCATTTGTTTCACAGAGGAAGAAGGTCCTAATGTAAGCAATGGAATTAAGTGCATTTTATCTTTTGCAACATATGATATGAACAGAAAATTAGTCCAACATTAGGCTCTAATTAATTGAGAAAGAAACCAAACAAATTGATTGAGAATCAATCTAACATTACAAATTGCCCTAACCAATGTTTGTGATTCTGTTTGAACAAGTCTAACTAACATGTATATACAAGAATGATAAATGATAAACTATAATGAGTTATTATTTATCCTTCGTAACGTCGGCCGCAACTGAAGCTTTGCAGATCGGACATGTGATCTTTATCAACAACCACTTCTTGATACAAGGGGCATGGTATTTATGACCACAAGTCTTTAATGCCCCAACTTCATCCATGTCCTTGTAATCTTCCTGTATATTACCAAAATCGAAGTTTTTAGGCGATACAGTTCGGACAAATGGGATCACTGAAAAGTAGTAGCGAACCATAATCAACGTGTGCTCAATCTGTTCTCGATAATTCCTTGTTGAAACATAATACAAGACATTTATGCTTCAAATAGAATAAAATTCTTACCAGGCAGATCACACAAGAGGTCTCATCCTGGTATTGGTCTGAAGAGTGGTAAATTGTTTCGGCTAAGCACTTAGATATCGAATCTTCTGACAAACCTGTATTAACGCTCCCTATCCTTTCCCCTAATGCAAGTAGTTCCTGCTCGAGAATTCGTCGAAAGTCATTTTAAAGAAAATACTATGAAGAATGAAATAACACCATAATAAAGAGGAGAAACGGGTACATACCTCGTAAGTCATGTTGTCTATGTCTAATCTCATATCTCTATGCTGATCAAACATATTTCTGGATCCATAAAAGGCAGAGTGGTCCGCAATCATAGAACCCTGCAGAGTGAAAATAGATTATAACATACTGCTAATATGCAAGAAATTTTCCAGCATCTCATTGGCAAAACACTTGATCTGAAGTAACAGAGTAAAAAAAGTGCATCAAGATGAAAAATACAACACACTAGAAATACAACGTGCTCAAAGCTAGTCAAATGGGTTTTCGATACATGTAAGTCCACCTCAAGTGCTGATATGAAAGAACATAATTCCTTCATAAGTGGTAAATACCTCAGATGTAAATCGACCATGGAAAACTGCATCATCAGCTAGAGACCGGTATCTATCATGAGATATCCTTGGCCTCCCATTCCGCTCATTATTACGCCATGTTAGAGCTGATGATGACCGAGGGTGCCTGGATGAATAACTTTCAGAAACAACCTGCATCCCCTCTTCTGAGGGTGCTGCATGTCCTAAGCGCATACTGCTGGAAGAAGTCCTGAAAATTGGGCCAGGTCTCTGGGAATAGTTTGTTCGAACACCTCTGACAGATTGTCCTGAGTTTCCATGGAAACCCTGGGGAAGAACAGGATTTCTACCAGAAATGAAATCATGCTGAAGTGCACCGACCTCAAGAGAGGCATTTCTAGCACTACCACCCGGAAAGCGGTTTATCTCATTATTAAAAACATTTGAATCTGCAATTCCACCAGCAACAGACTCAGAAATAATGGGAGGATCAAAATCAAGAAACACAGAAATGTTCAACTAACCATCAGGTAGAATCCTTCCATGAGTAGGAGACATTCTCAAATGGCCCCACTCCCTTGAAATTGCATTAGAGCTCTGACCTGAGATATCCACTGAGCTAGAATGTTCAACTGGGTGGCTTGTAGGGTAAAATGTATGAGAACTATTGCTTGATAAATTGGTCCTAACAAGGTTGGATTCAAGATCAAGTGCTGGACGGCTTCTCACATTCCTCATAGAATCCTCGCCCCTAATTGAGAGGCCATTGCCTCTACAACTCGGAGGAATGCCAACATGATCCCAAAGCATGTGCTGAGGATCTAGATTAGGTTTCTCTTGCCAAACAGAAGGCATGGGAATATCAGATGAACTTCCAGCACTAGCATATCTGCTTGAACCACCCCTCTCACAGACTGAAGGAACTCCCGGGCTTTTTCTCTTGTGAGGTCCTCTACCACTGCCCTTTGTGAGATCAACAAAACCACCCTCAATTCCATGGAAAGTATGCCTATCATAATTGGAAGAAGATGCACGATGCATGTAGTTCTCAGGGGCTGCACCAAATGTTCCAGGCGCCGATGGATGTAGAAAAAAATCATGAGATGGACCTGAAGTGTCAGGTTGGCAGCGTGGAGCATCAACACTGTGGCTTGAGGTAGCAAAACTACTTGACATAGGCACAGGATTCCAGTGGGAGGAATAACGCACTGCATCAAAAGACATATTTTCTACAGGACAGAAGGAACCATGTTCTGTAGTGCTTGACCTAGCTGCAGAAAAAAAAACAAGCAGTAATAACCATCAGGACAATAGCTTTTGTACAAACAAAGGATCCTAATAATGGAAACCCCAAAACCTAGGCCCAACTCTAGATAGGAGAATATGATGAGTTCAAACCCAAACACATTGGGAACATGTTTTCATACTGTAAATCAATATATATTTGTCATCAACATCAACCTTTTCCCCTTAATTAAAATGCAAAAGTAAAGGCAATAAAATAACAATACCTAGATTTGCATAAGGTTGCTCCTCATGCATATGATTCCAGCCCTGCTCATGCTCATTCTCATTCTCAAACATTTGGGATGAGCCAAATAAATGTCTATGCCCCATAACAAAGCCACTTAAGAGCAAAAGATAAATGTCTCAGAAGAAGAGTCAACCTATAAAAAGGGGAAAAAATCAAATTTGTAGAAGAGAATAGAGTTATTAAGAACATTTAATTTCCAATCCCAATAAATAATTAAAACAAAGGATGCATTCACCGTTTCCATGACATTTTTACAAGCAAAACAAACTGGTTATACAGCATTCCATTCCTTATCAAGAACTTCCACAAGTTTGGCACAAATACTATCATTTTTTGGATCTCATAATTTTCAGCAAAAAGAAGAAAAATGCAACATTAAATTAGTTGATACTGGGCAGAGAAATACTCGATACAAAGTTATACTCATTGTGTTCCTACCCATAACTGTTTAATCCATTTAAAAGAGAAGAAAGTCATCATGCTAGTAAAACCCTAATAGGATGAAGTGGCAAACACTACAAAGAACCAGAATACACATACAGCCTTATATATTTCACTCTTCTGATATCAAATAATAGTAAAACTATTCAAGTAAAATTTATAAATATATCATGCAGGCAATTCCAGCAGAATTAAGGTCAGCCACTGCACAGGCACTAGCACAAACTGATAACTGAAAGGGCCATCTAGACTAGATTTTTATGCAACTAAAAAAAACTTACTTTGGCCCACTAAATAAAAAATGTGCATCAAGAACAGTAGTCACATGTGAGTTGATTCTTAGGAGTAGGACAAAATGAGCTGCAACAAAAGCATTAGGGTGCTTTTTGCCGTAGGCTTTTGCACAGGAAGTAGACAACCCTAAAACCAAGTGTAAAAATATGGTCTTAAAAACTGACATGTCAGCCATAGACCATAGTCCTGTCTCTTGTAATTATCTGCTTATACATTGCTCACCATTCCATAAAATTGGAGAGCATCCTTCATATTCTGGGGTAAGAATAAGTGAAGGCAAGATAGAGAACACTAGATTGTAATTAAAAATAGACTTTAATAGGTTGCCAGCACTAATCCATAACCCCGATGCAATAGTACCTCAGATTCAGGAATCAGGCTAGAGGAAGCACTAGAAGCAGGATTACACATCAGGACATCAGCCGGAATTGATTTATAACTCAGCAGACATGAGGGATCAAAATGGTAATAACTTAACCAAGAATGGATACAAAGCTTGTGAAGTCACAGTAACAGCAGAAGAATAAGGCCTCCTACTCCAGTCATGAAATTAGTAACCGAAAAAATATAGAAAAAGACCAGTCCCTCTTTGGTTCAATAAAAGAAAATAAATCAATTTGCATATAAGTAACTTTTGTGATATTGAACTTCCAGTCTGTAAGACAGGACAATAACCTATCTATTATGAAGACAAGTTAGAAGAACAGAAACATTAAGATAGTAAAGAAATGAAGATTTCAAATTCAGAGTATGCTGTAAACTTTTAAGGGGTTACAAGTTGATAAACTGACAGTAACATATAGCAGAAGCAAGCATCCTCAAAGAAATTGAAGAGGCAAAATACAAAACAAACTACAGTTTTGAAATCATTCATCTTCATATGGAACTTAAGTAAAATGCCATGTGTAAGTATAAATTGTTTATTTTTTTTTTTATAGGAATAGAAGGCCTCATTAAAAACCTCCCTCATAGATAGCCCTTTCCCAACAGAAAGGATCCACTATTAGAGGGAGGAAAAGAGTGCCTCGTTTTATTGCTGAACCAAAATTACATAAAACTTAACAATTACACCAAAAATCCTGACATAAAACTTAATAACTCCACCTACTTGAGAAACCTACTGACTGGGAAGGAAAATAACAAGTATCTATAGTCTTACAATCAACCAATCCCCATCTTTGCTAAACTATCTGCCTCCCCATTACAAGCCCTTGGAATCAACCTAATTAACAACACCTTTTCAGAGAAGAGTGATAGAATTTCTTTAACTAGAGGCAATAAGAAAACAGGTGCCAACGCTGGAAAGTGAACCTACTCCACTGCTGACTTGCAATCACTCTCAACAATCAGCCTAGTAACAGAAAACCATCGTGATGCCAAAAAGATTCAATGCCTCTTTTAATAGCCTTTAACTCAGCAACTGGTGGGGAACCTTGACCGATATTCTCTGAAAAAAGTCAACAGAGTGCAACTATTCCAATCCCTAAGGATACCTCCAATACCACCAACTAAGTCACTTAACCTTACAGCTCCATCGACGTTCATCTTCAAAAAATCAACAGGGGGTAGCCAGCAAAGCACAGAGCAATCCTTTAATTCAGAAACCGAAATTCCATCTGCAAGTGAAGGATCCCCAATGAGCAAATCCTCCTGTATAGGAATTTTAGGATACTTGGCTTTAAACCACTTAGATAGCCTAAATCTTGCAATGAAAAACAGAGAAATCCTATCAAGAGATAATCCTTCAAACACAATCTCATTCCTTGCTTTCCAAATAGACCAAAAAATGACTCCCGGGATAAACTTCCAAATCAATGAATTCACCCTCAAATTCCCCCACGAGATAAGTAAAGAAGGAGGGTCCTTAGGTAAAACTACAGATAAATCCCAAAAGCTTATTACCTTATTCCATAATTCCCAAACTACATTACACGTAATAAACAAATGTTGCACTAATTCCTCATGCTTCTTACAAAATGGGCAAAGGATATCTTCCCCTAAGGACATTCCTATGTTAACCAACTCCACTTTTACTGCCACTTTCTGATGGGCTAACTGCCAAAGAAAGGCTTCAACCCTTGGTGGGGACAGTCTTAACCACACCCCTTTTGACCACAGATCCTTGTTCCCAACTTCCAACCCGAGCGCATTCCTGCAAGATTTGACCGAAAATAATCCATCCCCACTAGCTAACCACGAGAGACTATCCTCTACAGAATCTGAAATTTTTATATCCTTCAATTTCAACATCAAATCCATCCATTGATCCAACTCCCAGTCAGACAAATTCCTCCTAGTGCAAATATTCCACACCCAACAATTTGATTCATGACTGCCAAATTCAGCCACCTTGCCCCATTTGTTAGGAGATAATGCATAGATTCTAGGGAAAAGATTTTTAGAGGAACCTCTTCCATCCACGGATCAATCCAAAATAAAATAGACTTTCCATTACCAACTTGCAGCTTCGAATTTGATCTAAGACATAAACCCACCGAATCATTCTTCCAAAAATTGTTGCCAATACTTCCCAAAATCCAAGAAGATCCAGGTGAAATAATCTTGCTGATAGACATCGAGTTGCAACTAATCTTGTGCTTGCTACATATCATTCTTTTCCATACGGAATTCTTTTCATTTGCGAACTTCCACACCCATTTCCCCAATAGTGCTCGATTCGTAAGATTCAAATCAAGAACTCCAAGGCCACCACTGCTCATAGGTTTGCAAACTGAACTCCAATTAACCCAGTGAATCTTCCTCTTATCCTCGTTGTCACCCCATAAAAATTTAGCCATTAAAGAATTTAACTTCTTGCCTACTTTGCAAGGCATTTTAAAAAACGATAAGAAGAATATGGGCAGGGAAGATAACACAGACTTCAACAGGACTGTCCTACCAGCCAAAGAAAGAGAAGAAGCTTTCCACCCGGCTAGTTTAGAATTAAATTTTTTAACGACTGGCTCCCATAAAGCTTCTGAATTCTTCCTAGCACCGATGGGGAGTCCTAATTATTCTGTTGGAAAACGATCAACTGAACAGCCCACTTCCAACGCCCAATCAAATAGGATTTCCTCATCAACGTTAATCCCAAAAAGTTTACTCTTCACTAAATTTAAATGCAACCCCGCCATTATACTGAAAATCCTCAAAATTCTTTTAACGTTTTTAATCTGGGTAAGTGAAGCTTGAGAAAAAATGATGAGATTGTCAGCAAACTGAAGATGTGATAGCCGAAATGAATTTTCAGAATTCCCAATAACAAAACCTTGGAACAGACCTTTATCCATTGCTTTAGAAAGCATCAAATGCAACAGCTCCCCTACTATATTAAATAAAAGCGGCGAGAGACTACATCCTTGTCTAAGCCCTTTAGCCATAGAAAACTCATCCGAGGGGGAGCCATTTACAAGAACCGAAATAGAAGCCGAGGAAAGACACTGTGAGATCCATGAGCACCATTTCATACCAAATCCCATCTCTTTCATTGCTCTGAGTAGAATAGGCCATTCAACAGAATCGTGGGCTCTCCGAAAGTCAACTTTTAGTACCACCCCTTGTAGCCCTTGTTTTCTCTAATAGTCAATCCCTTCATTAGCAATAAAGGCACAATCCAACAACTGTCTTCCCGATATAAAAGCGAACTGGGAAGGACTAATGACATCACCAACACAATAGCTTAGTCTCTTAGATAAGACTTTTGATAGAATCTTGTACAAACTGCCCACAAGGCTAATTGGTCTAAAGTCTTCTATATTTTCCGGATTTAATTTCTGCGGAATTAGAGTAATAAAAGAGTGATTTACCCCATGCTCCCACTTCCTTCCAATATAGAAATCTTTAAAAAATTTCAACACATGCTCCTTTAATGCAGGCCAGAATTTCTTGAAAAAACCCATTGTGAACCCGTCCGGTCCTGGAGATTTAGAGTTGTCCGAAGTAGCAATTGCTTGCCAAATCTCCTGTTCTGAAAACTGCTCCTCTAACTTAGATGCCTGATCCCGTGACAGTTTTGTAAAGTCCAAAAGCAATTCCTCCACTTCCATTGTCAAAATTGAATTAAACTCGGTCTTGAAAAACTCTGAAATATGAGTCTTAATCAAGATATGATCTGAAACAACACTTCCATTGATCTTCAAGCTAGTAATGACATTTCTTCTACTTCTATTTAGAGCACACAAGTGAAAAAAATCTTGTGTTTCTATCCCCATCTTTAATCCATCTTGTTCTTGCTCTTTGAAAACAAATACTTTCCTCAATCCTGTATAACCTCCATAGATCTGATCTAAGTTGCTTGACCTGTTCCCATTCCTGAGTAGAGAGACTACTACCTTGCGCCTTAAATTCCAACTCATTTATTTTCCTTTCGGAATCTTCAATCGACTCAGAAATCCCATT